ATAACGTGCTTTAGCTTTTGGTCAGCCCTGAATCTGTCAGACGGTTAGACGAGATGGTCGTTGTAGGGCCCTTCCATCTGAAACAGTCTGTTCTGTTACTGAAAGGAATAACAGGAGCAAGCAGTTTTCCAGGTTAGGTTAACCGAAAACCAGCTGTGATGCCTTCTGCAAAATTTTCTATGAAACCACCATCGCCTTGCCTCAGGACTCTGCTGGAGCAGGTACTCTTGTTGGCCATGTGATGATTGGAGTTTCCGATCTGAAAGTGAAGTCCTGTGGAAACTTAGAGAAAACATAAAGAATGGCTCTAACACAATGCTGACTGTTAAAATCTGGGTCTTACAGGGATCAATACAGAAGCAGGAGATAAGGAGTCACACCTGGGAGGGGGGTTGCAGTGGGGAAAAAGTGGGGATTATTACAGACCCCTCGGTAAAGGCAAAGCCACGCTTTTGAAAGCTGGAAAAAAAGAGAGTGATTTCAGCCTTTGTGGTTGCTGGAGGTAGGTGTTCTACTGCCAAAGTGGCTGTTGGTTGTACTAAACTGAAATACCGTTTCCCTTTTGCTGTGAGAGGGTTTGCAGGTGAGGTGTTCATAGGCTGTACCACCTCGCTTGTTGTCTGCCCAGGTGATAACGACTTGTGCTGTTCTGTAAACACCATGACTCCTTCGTTCTGTGCTCTCTCAGATGTGCAGGCTGCTTGTCAGGATGCCACTGTCACCCAGGAGCTTCTGAAAGAGGGCTTCCACAGGTAAGTTGTCACCCCAGCACTGCATCAGAATAACGCGCCAATTAATTTTATGTGGGAAGAAGCTTTTCTTCTCTGTCGTGCACAGTCTCAGCAACCTGAACCGTGATCTGTAGCCAGGGCTAGGCACTAGGAACTTATTGGCATGATCAAATAATTAACAGTTATGGGCTGTAGTGGAGGAACAACGGGAGGCCCCTTTCCTAAGAGCTGTGCGGAGGCCGTTGGTGGTTCTGAGAAGTTAACAAAGAAGCGGAACTTCATTTTGGCCACGGATGTGGAGTCAGGGTGAGCTACCCATCACCCGAACCAGAGAGGTGTCAAGCATGGCTTGACAGGGAACTGTTCTCTGAACTTGCGTGTAGCTTGTGAGAGCTGTGTCTGATCTCTGTGCGTTTGAGAGTATGAGAGCAGTGTGCCCAGGTGGCCAAGAAGGCCAGCAGCATCCTGGCTTGTATCAGGAGTGGTGTGGCCAGCAGGAGCAGGGCAGGGACCGTGCCCCTGTCCTGGGCACTGGTGAGGCTGCCCCTCGAATGCTGGGTTTAGGGTTGGGCCCCTCACTCCCAGAAGGACATGGAGGGGCTGGAGCGTGTCCAGAGAAGGGCAAGGAAGCTGGGGGGGGGGCTGGAGGCCGAGGGGGCAATGGGATGAGGGGAAACGGCCTCAAGTTGTGCCAGGGCAGGTTTAGGTTGGACACTGGGAAAAATTCCTTCCCTGCAAGGGCTGTCAGGCACTGGAAGGGGCTGCCCAAGGCAGGGGTCGAGTCCCCACCCCTGGGGTTATTTAAAAGCTGGGCAGAGGAGGTGTTTAGGGCCAGGGTTTGGGGGTGGGATGGCAGGGTTAGGGTAACAGTTGGGCTTGATGAGCTTAAAGGGCTTTTCTAACCCAAATGATTCTGTGTCTCTCGGGGAGGCAGGGGGAGTGTTTGTGCCATCTTTGGAAGCTCAAGTATAAATGTTTTGCCTCTCTTGCGTGTTTGCAGGGACCTGCTGGTGAAGGTGGAACTCGGCGCAGTGGGGGAGGAGGCACAAGGATGTGCAGTGGCAGCTAGGATTCATCTTCCACCAGGAATCTATGTGGATCCCGACGAGCTGGCATCGCTGCAGCAGCACAATTTAACAAAGGTAATGATCCCAAGGCTACGACAGCTGGTATTTAAGGACATGTGTACTCAGGAAGCACTAATCTCTGGTTGTTATTGGGCTTGTTGAACCAAGGTTATTAATTCCTTTTCCTGGACGGAGATGCTGCACAGCATCACATTCCTGACATCTCGGTCTGTCCCTCAGCTTGATCAGCATTGCCTGGTGCAGGGTGTTTTGTGTTGTGTGCTGCCGATATTTCTACACATGGGCATGCGGGCTGGGGAGCTGCAGCAGCTCTGCTCCACCCCAGGTGAGCAGCTGTGGTGCAAACTATTCTGGTTGAAAAGACAGGTTAAACCCCCACAGAGTTGGTGGTGGTGGGCTGGAAGCGGCATGCTGTGCATTTGGACTGAATAGCTTCACAGCTTTGTTGTCATCACAGCTTTGTGTGTTGCTTTCCAGGGTTTGCTTTGCGTTCTGGGTAGAGGTGTGCTAAGGCTGTGGCTTTAAGGCCATCTCCTGGGTGCTTAATTCAGTTAAAACATATGGATGCAAAGACTGGGCAACTTCTGCTGTTGGGCTGCTCACAAGTGCTGGTGTGGCCTTGCTTATATGCATCATTAAGCTAACGTCGCTTCAGTTTGGCTAGAGGTGTGGTTGCACCATTAACTTTTCGTACATAAGAATCACTCATTGGAAGGGGACTTGAAAAGTTACTTTCAAACAGCTTCAGGACAGAATTTCCAGCCTGATCCTCCTGACCATGAAATTGGGCCCAGCCTTAGACAATAGAATGAGGACAATAGTTTTCCCTTCTGATGCTGCGTTAGGTTACCACAGCAGAGTGGCCTCTTAAATCCCAGTCATGCACAAGAAGTTAATGTATTTTTTTTATTTTCCACATCACTCCCTGTGATTCTGATCACAGCCACATCTGCATCTTTCTCCACGTGCAGGCAGTGTTAATTCCTGAGGTTGTTGATGTGGAGGCTCCCGAGTACTTAGCCACAGATCTTCTTGTTCTCCTGTATTTGGAACCCGACCCTCGGTGTTCTCGCTGTTTTAGAGCTGCCTTGCCTGTGCACGGGCGGTACCACCGGCCAGCAGAGGAGAGTGAGGAAGCGTTGGTCATTCTGAAGAGCCCAGAAGTACTGGTCTGCTGCTGTGATGGTGAGACTCTTATTACGTGTTCTTCTGGGGAGAGAGGAATAATCCAGAGCTTGGAATCTGGTTCTGTTTTTGTCTTCTGGAGATGGAGCTCTTGGTAGTTGTGTGATGGCGAGGGGAAGAGAGGGGTCCTGATAAAGACCATGTTGTCTTCCTCTTTGAACGCTGCTGCTGCTTGACCAAAGGCAGACGAATTGTCTGCAGACTTCTTGTTGTTGTGCTGCTGCTGTTGTACCCTTGTACTTTAGCGGGCTGTTTGGGGTCTTTCGCCTGAAAGTGTTGGCAGTTGGTCCGTCTGTCGCAGGCCCTGGTTTGTTAAAGGTCAGCTGCTCAGACTGCGTCTTCACAGTGTCTCTTTTGACAGCTGAAGTCACGCGTGGCACATTTAGTGTTCATGTATGTAGAGTAATGAAGGTGTTCTGGTGGTTTCCAACACTTTCTTCCTGCCCCATATATATGGGGAATGTAGAAAACTGTGTGTCTGAAGGTTAGAATGGTTGGAGTCTCAGACTCCTGCGAAACAAGAACCCAATATCCACTGACAATGAATATTTTAAGGTATATGAACAATGAAATCCTCCATTTTTGCTACAAATTGTATTTTGTTTCACAAAATCATTCTCGCTAGCCGCCAAGTCGAATGTGCTAATGACTCTCAGTTCCTTTATCTTCACTTGCATGTTATTTGAGCAATGATTTCCCTGCCCCTAAGTTTATCCCAGAAAGACTGCCTGATCAGTTAAAAAAAGGGGTGTGAAATCTTCCCATTTTTCTGCCAGGTTTACTACTTAAGAGCAGGAAAACATATTTATTATTAATATGAAAGTATTTAAAGTACTGGAGGGGAGTTCTTGCATGTTCCAACAGGAGGCCAACAAAGAGAAATGGAAGAGTGACCTCTTGGTTCTGGGGGAAGAGAAATTGCAAATATGTGGCTAAAATTGAGGGGTCTATGGGCCAATGATGAATTCTTTGCCCCATTAAGGACAGAAGGGCCAAGATACCATGCAGGTGAGTCTTCCTTGGGTACCTGCTCTATCAGGAAGGGAAGAGTTGCAGAGTTCATGAAAAGCGGTGCTGGGCAGTCCTTTGTTCAGTTTAGCTGTAACGTTTCTGTCAGCACTGTCACCTACTGGCTTCTGGGGAGCAGATTGTGTCTTGCTGTCACTGGGGAAAGATACCTCAGTTGGAAAAAGTCTTGCAGGCTGTATTGTTTCATCCCGTCTGGATCCTGCTGATGCAGTAATGTCTTCTGTAGATCGCCTGTCAGCAGAGTGTCGGAAGCCTGCTGAAGTGGAAGCTCCCTGTTCAGGTGGAAATGTCAGTCCCTGTCAGTGGTACAGCATAACGCACAAACCTGTGAGTTCTTATTCCTGGTGGGAATTCTTCATTCTCTTTTAACACCTGCTGCCTTTTTTTCTGTGATGAGCAACTTCCATAGCACAGGAACTAATTGGTAAGACAGTTGTGTGCCTCTTCTTTAGGCAGGCTCCCTTCTTCCTTTCCAACCAGCTTTTCCAGGGTGTTATCCTGCCCTTCTGATGTGCTTGTAGTCATTCTGTGCCCTTTGTGGACCTTTTTTTTTTTTTTTTTTTTCCTTAATACTTGGAATTCTAGGGTATGATTGGCACTGGTCAAATTAAGAAAGGTCTTTACAACATAGGTGTTTCAGAGGAGTAGCAAAGTGGAAAACTACTTTATGATCTACCTAAAGAAGGGGTAAAATACCAAAGATTGAAAGAATAACATCTTAAAAAAAGGCCACTTTTGTTTGTTTGTTATCTGATCGGCTAAGTATCTAGGAAGAGATGAAGTTTCTTTATTCTTGTTCAAAACCAAGGTAAGTTGGATCTTTAAGGTGGTCAACAACTGCCTTTGATACTCAAAAGGGTAGCATAGAGATGCAGAAATAAGACTTAATTTGTCTCCTAACAAATCTGTTTGGTTTGTAACATGCATGCCTTCCTATATTTAAGATATCTGGGATATCTGCAGCTCTTGTCCAGAAATGTTTTGGAGCTTCCTGCATCTCAAGGGAAGCATGTAGTTCTTTGCCTCAGAGAAAACTGGCTTCTCGGTGATCTGTGAAACGCTCATTTCGAGAGCTTCTCTCTCCCATGCTGTATTACATACATATCCTCAAGGGCAAGCCTATTGTAAGAACATGGATACAGAGGATATAAATGACTACCATTTAAAATGGCAGCAGATAAATTTATTGAGCTTTGTCCTGCAGGAGCTCTGTTTGTTATAAATTCAAAGAATCATAGAATTGTTTTGGTTGGAAAAGGTCATAGAGTCCAACTGTTAACCTAACACTGCCACCCCACCGCTAAACCCTGTCCCTAAAAGGTTTACCCTAGAGGTTACATCCCACCTCGGTTTTGATTTTGAACCCCAGAAGAAGCCTTAGCAAGGTGCAAGTTAAACAGCGGTCTGGTTACTAATCCTCTGAGTTGCAGTCAAAAAGAAATAGCTTGTTAAATGTGTGTAATCCATTTACTTTTCTTGGTAGGCCAGCGAGGAATTGATTCTGCAGATTCCAGTGGGGCTCAGGCAACATAGTTCCTTCGTGTGTGCTGTGACTCTTCTTGCTACGGTGCTCTGTTCCAGCCTGATTCTTGCAGCCGTATGCAGATACGGACACTTCTCCCCGGTGACCTGCTTGGAATAAAGAAATACAGAATGACTGACCTGCGTCCAGCAAAACTCATGGAATGTTACATCAGCTTCCTAAATGAATCCTGCTCTACTGTTATTTATATCTTGCTAATGTGGGAGGGTCCCACACTGGTTAGATTTTCCTTGGCCTAATCCTTACAAACACCTTTCACGCACAAAGGACTGTTTTGGTGCATTGTCAATGGACAAAGCAGGTGGAGGGTAGGAATAGCACTGCAAAAAGCTGGAAGGACTGCCACAGTCTTGGTTCCAAATCCCTCCCCCTGGCCTGGAGCCTGCTTCGGCTACAGTGCTGCCTCTTACAAGGGTGTTTGTGTTTCTTGAATTTAAACCAGCTGACTCAGGGATTGGTTATTAAGGGTATGGAAAGCATTATCTGTCATTAAAGTTTCTGAATTTTCAGCTTGTGTACACTGTCCAGATGGGTTACATGTTAGTTTGGGAAGAGACCACCTGTGCTTACCTGGGACAGCAGGCGTCTTAAATAATCTCTCCTATTCTGTTAACTGGGAGGGATTAACTGCTCTTGGTCTAATTAGTCAGCGTTGAAAGAGTTTAGAAAATTTGAAAGAAATTTCACCCTTTTTCAGAAGCAGAAAGAGTAACCCTTGGAAGGCAAGAGCTGGGGAAAAGATACTAACTAGAAGCAAATATTTAGAAGACTTGCATTCAGCTGTCAGAACAGTTGATAAATAGAAGGAAGTGGAGAGGAAGTTACTTAATGGAAAACCTGAGTGGTCCTGGATTGACAGAAGAGCTCAGCTGCTGTTTCTAATTGTCAGTAGGTGGCATTGTGAGCTTATGGTAACTCCTGTGGACTGTTGGTGGAGAAAATATGATTTTATTCCCTATGAGCTGAGAGTTAAGTTAGTAAAACCAGGTGATTTTGGGGAGTGCATGTGTGAGGGGGACGAATGAAAATTCTGTTTTTCAAATTCTGACCTCCCTTTGAGGGCTCTGTATGCAGCCAACACTTCTCTTCAGCAGAATTGGCCTCTCATCGCTGTCCAGCTGTAGCTTTAGGATCCCTTGGGCATCTTTCTTCTGCTTCTGCGGGAATTCAACAGAGAGCTTGTCTTATGACTTCGCCCACGACAGGTTGGCAAGTGCTCTGACACTGGGCTCTTGTTCTCCCTTGACTGTGCTGAATGATGATGGCTGCGCCAGTACTTCATCCGCTACCTCAGCGGAGTCATGCACTGCATCTGCTTGGGGGAAGGGAAGCATTAAAGAGAACAATCACAGAGAGATTTGGCGGCCTGTTTAACTGCATCAGAGCAGCAGGGCTGCGGACCAGTACTGTAACACTTGTCTCCGAGTGGGGCTCTTTGTTCTCACAGTTGAGTTTGTTCTTGTGTGCTCTCACTCGCTCTTACCGCAGGTAAGTGACTCTGTGTTGCTGTCAGACCCTTGGAGTGGCAAGAGATTGGCAGTTTTTTACTGCCTGAAAGCTCACTTTTTTTTTTAATGTATTTTAACATCAGAGAATACCAGTTGAAAATCACAGGTTGAATTCCTTAGCTAAAACAAGCTGCCTGATACCACAGAATCATTTAGGTTGGAAAAGCCATTTAAGCTCACCAAGCCCAACTGTTACCCTAACCCTGCCATCCCACCACTAAACCCTGGCCCTAAGCACCTCGTTTGCCTGGCTTTTAAATACCCCCAGGGATGGGGACTCGACCTGACAGCCCTTTCAGGGAAGGAATTTTTCCCAATGTCCAACCTAAACCTGCCCTGGCACAACTTGAGGCCATTTCCCCTCATCCTACCACCCATTTCCAGGGAGAAGAGGCCGACCCCCACCTCACTACAGCCTCCTGTCAGGCAGCTGTAGGGGGCGATCAGGTCTCCCCTCAGCCTCCTCTTCTCC